GCGCTCACGGAGCCAATTTAGCCGAGTACGAAAAGAAAATATATGGTCGTATTTACGAAAACCATAAATGTATCTGATACCTTTAAGGAGATGCTACAATAAATTTTAAATTGACGTTTTCATTCATTGTCATTGAACTAGTGCGTAGGACATAGTATCTCGATATTCTTTGTTAACATTTGTTTGTTAAATAAGTTTGAAACATCGGGAAGTACTATTTTTAGAAATTTATATTTATGGTAAATACTTTTTGTTCATTATTTGCCCCTTACATTATTGTAATCATAGTGCTTAGTAATCAGATAATTAAGTGCCAATAAATATCAATCATTGTGTCAACAGAGCTAAGGTTACGTTTCAACCTCACTTCAAATTCTATTTGACTGTCTATAAACTCTTTAGGCCAGTAAAAGTAGACGTTTTTTTTTCGTCAACTTTGCACTAAATATACTAAGTTTAGGACTTACTGAGCATAAAATCACAAAATACTGACAAATCCAGATGGCGCTTCAAGCGCTATTTTGAAAAAACGTGTTGATATAAATTATATAAATTCTATTTTTACTGTAGTACTTTAAACACCACAATATTATTAAAAAGACGTGACTAAAACAAAAGCCGTGGTGAATATATAGATTTTATATTAAAAAAAAATTAGAAATTAAGCATCCTCTTAAAATATCATCTCACGTACATCCTACTACATATTTTGTAATTCGAAAATAATATTACTTATCCTTCAGGTAGGGACTAACACAGTATTGTGAATTACCATACGTGCATTTTTTGGCACATTCTGACTGCCCACAATTGAGTGAAGAGACCCATTCACTCTGTATGTGTTCTGCATTCAATTTCGTCTTACTTGCGTTCACTTTCATTCCCTTTATTTTAATAATACGGTTATTAATTTAACCATCGTTTGCAAATCGCCAGCCAACTGCTGAAATATGACCAAAACTGACTGTTCTAACTTTCATCTGGTAGTTTATTTTTTTGTTTTTATAGGATAGGGTGACAAACGAGCACACAGTCCACCTGATGGTAAGTGAATGCTGTGGCCCATAGACATCTACATTTATCCTCGATTACGATTTAAAATGCAGATGCGTTGTCACCCCTGAGGACTAAGATGGAATGCCTTGTTCTAGTAAAAAGGGCCTCCGGTTGCTCTACATTCACCATACGAAACACACAGCATTACGCTACTATTTGACGCTGGTATTCTGTGAGAGCGTGGTCCTTCCCTGGTCGAGCCGACCCGTTCGTGCTACAACTATACTACTAATATAACTGCAGCATGGCTCTACCACGTATAAAAGTACTGACTAGTTTCCAAAATATTTTGATATTTAAATAAAAAAAATCAGAGAGATATTTTTTCCTTTTTACTACTTCTTTTACTCTCTTATTTAGTCATCTAAAAATCATCTACATTTTTTTCTATCCCACTATCCATACACTTAGATTTACTGGCTTTACTCGGTCATACATTTCATTCATTCATCATCAATGACTTTGATGCTGCACAAATTATAGAATTGTCCGAACTGAAGGTTTTTAAGCGTTATCTATATATCAATACGTGAAGGGAAAACTTTGTACTCCTTTTTAAGCACATTGCGCGCACGGAGGAGTGTAAGATTTGGCGCACCTAGTTAAAGTTTATATATAGAAGTGCAAAAACCTAAATTTTATATAAAACATCTGTAACAAATACATTTACATAAATAAAATAAATTATAAATTATTTACGCCAATGTCACATTTACAAACAGTATGTTACTACTCTAAGGCCAATATATCACTAAATAGTCTGGTAGTCAAACAGTAGCATAGAGTGTGAGAAAGAAAGAGATGATAATGACTGTCAGTGGCTGAAACTAACTCAACTAAACTGAGTAAATGTGTGATTTTAAATATTTTCTTTTTCGACAGTGTGTGGAGTGTAATATCTGAAGGCAAAAAAGCACATATTTTATATTTTGTATAAAAAATATGACCACTAGGCCACTAATTGCATTTTAAAATCCGTAAACTATATATTCAAGTATTTAAAAGATATTTGTTTTAAATATTTTTATAATGAAACAACGAAAACGACAGCGTTAATACTTAAAAACTCTTTCGTAAACAGACTTAAAAGAGAAAAAATTTCAAACAAGAGACATACAAGACCCCTTCATGAACAATTAGCGCACCCCACTAAGGACTCTCAAAAGTTGCTCATACTACTAGAGTCACCATATACACGGAATTTGTCGAGCTACGTGATTTATAAAAATACTTATATTTGAAGACAAAAGGAATTTATCGAATAATATACACTAAGCTATAACGACTAGTCGTTGTAGCGCAGGGGATTAGCGGTTGCTGTAAATTTTACAGCACGCGAGCATCCCGGGTTTGATCCCAGCCGGCACCAATGAAATTGTTAATTTAAGTGCTGATTTACCACCTGCTCGCCGGTGAATAAAAATATCGTGAGGAAACCGGCATGTCTGAGAAATAAGAAAAAATATTTCGAAGACATGTTGTAAAGTACGCCAACTCGCGTTGGGGCAGCGCGACGGCGCGGCGAGGTTAAAACCCTCTCAGAAGTAAGAGAGGGCCTGTGCCCAGCAGTGGGACGTATATAGGCTGTAACTTTACTTTTTACTTATATACTAAAGTATGCAAGCATTATGAAAAAGAAAGACTTTTTTATATTTAAATGTGCTCTCCAACGCATAATGGAGCATTCATCTATTCATAAAACAATGAAAACGTACGCAATTATTCGATTGAAACAAGAATGTAAGATTAAAAAGAATGTTTCTAAGTCAGAGTCATGTAAAATATATTTTCGAATTGGGTGTTTGAATCAAAAGAAAATTATATATGTATGCAATCACCATTTTTGTACATTTATTAAGCATAATAAAAACAAATCATTATTATTTAATATAAACACCAGCGTAGAATTCCTTTGTAAATCACTGAATACATAATATCATGGTAATCTTACACGTAGCGTGGGACCGCACGAACTAAAACCATGGCCCGCCTTTACAGCCGTGAGGGTCGCTCCCTCCACTTATTCTGTCGAGTCCCATTCAAGACTTCAATTTGAATTAATATAATGGATTGCATCAATATTTGTAGCTACTCAACAAAAAGTTTTCTTCATTACACTTTTATTTTTTTATACATAATGTAAATTATATCCTAGAATGTAACGTATGTTAAGAAGAAGAAATTAATAAATACAATATTTATTATTATTTAATAATCTTTTTATAGTGTGGGCACCATAGTAAACGTAACTATGGTAATATACGGACAAATCTTAATATATATAAATTACTTACATGTCAAGTTGTTTGTCCGCGATGGACTCCTAAACTACTTAACCGATTTTAATCAAATTTGTAAGTGTCATTTGTATTGGGATAGAATAGTTTTTTTGCCCATGAGTGACCCACAATTTTTTTTTTTGCGAATTTAAGAATATTTAATAGGACAAGACAAATTGTCGTCGAAAAGGGCAGAACAACGTCTGCCTGACAAGCTAGTTATTTGATAAATTAAATTGTCTTAATATTTTTTATATAATAAATTGTTCATAAACATATTACTCTACCAATTTAAAAAAAATTGCTAAACACATGATATGAAGTTTTATAAGGTGCTATTTCCAGTAAGGTCTGTCATATAACATAAATGTTAATGTTGTGATAATTTTAATAAAAAGAATAAAAGTTTAGGTTGTGTGCCTACATTACTTCCACATTATAGAGTACACTGTCTTTAAAATGTGTCACTATTTGAAACTTAATGCCTAGAAAACTAAGCCTAACTGCTAATAATAATACAGTAGCTGTAGGAGTTCACAGTTATTTTAAAATACCTATATATGTATATGATACGTCACTCCTGTACCCCCATGTCGTCCGTATATTTCATAAGGAACAAAACAGAGAAACAAACCAGAAGACGGGCAGCAGCACCTTCCTAATGACAACAAGAAAATAAAAAAACTGCGCTTACCAAACCGCCTTGCCAGCGTGGCAGGTACGACAAATATTCCCTTATGAGGCAATCTATGGGGATGCTGCATATGTCCAACAGTTTGCTTTGACAGGCTGTAGTGAATGAATGGATGAATGAACGAATGAATGAATGGTGGATACTGCACTGTATATGTTAATAAAATAATATCACTCATAGTGTTTACTGCTGCTAATTTCGAAATACCACAAGAGCTTAACTATTCAAATAGGCATAAAATTTAAGCCTTCAACCACACCAACGAACCGAGCCAAATGTTCTTATCACTTATCACCAATAAAACTATGTCCGTACCTATATTAAAAAAGGAATATACCGACTTCTATAACTTTAAATTAGTTCATCACCTTTTATTTATTGAAAATCGACTTTTCTTTCAATTGTATTAGAGAGAAGTGCCTTGAAATGATCTTGAAATCTATTCAATATTCTGAGGAATCATTCTTAAAATTAAAATTTAAAGTATGTGCTCAGACTTCATCTGAGTGTATGTGTCATATTAAAAGTAGTATACATTTATAATAGTTCATGAACATACAAGCAAATGTAATATTGTGATAAATATTTGTTAATATAAATTGTGATTATTTACCAAAAGCCGATGTGAACAGTGTTCAAAACTAATTCAGTTATAAGCCAAATCACCTATACCAAATACGATTCCTATCAGACTAATGATTTAACTTCGTCCAACGCGATTGTAATTTTAATTTAAGAAGATTGAACAAAATAGTTAAAACAAGACCAATTAATACACAAACCGCACCTTTTTTGTTAATAACTATTAATGTTTTGCGTGGGTTGAAGCTAGATAAGGGAAGCGCGTAATAGTTTATCAATAGGTTCGATGACTCGCAAAATTTTTAAATAAGTAAAGAAAAAGTATCTTTTACCAATCATAATAATTTTTTTTTATTTAATTATTTGAATAATGAAAAAGTATGTATTACCAGGTTAGCAGAATTGTTGAACAGTATCGCGGGACGACCGCCGGTGCCGGTGCGGAACTGCCGTCGAACGCCGCCGCTACAAACGGCAGACACGCCCAATCCGCACATGCGCTGTACGGAACTGTAACTCTAACCCTAACCGCTTCCACTTCGCGGCTTTATATTTGCTCAAATGCGACGAAGTTCGACAAATTGCCGCTTCACGAAGACGTGATGGCAGTAACACTCATAAAATTTCATTTTATTAATTACAAAAAAAAATTTTGTTGAACTTTAATCTATAATAAAGCTGATGATTAACGCTCGCTGTAAATATAATAGAACGCGAGTAACCAGGATTCGATCCCCGCCGGCACCAATGAAATTGTTTAAATGCTGATTTACCACGTGCTCGACGGTGAAGGAAAACATCGTGAGGAAACCTGCATGTCTGAGGAATAAGAAAAAATTATATTTCGAAGACAAGTGAAGTTCGCAGCGCGGCGGACACATCCTTGCCCTAAAACCCTCTCAGAAATAACGTCGGCAAAGATGCATCGACTGCATGGGTGATTACATTGAATGATAGAAAACAAAATTTACTGAAAAAAATTTACTAATGAACGGCAATTTTATAGGTAAAGAGCTAATATTCAAATCACAAAGCCTAAAGACGAGATAATTTAAGTGTTAAGATATAAAGCATTGGTCATGCTTGTCTTTTGATTTTAAATGTAACACTGAAAGATTTATATTCGTGTAGTTTTTTTTTAATAGAAGAGGGGAAATTATTATTTTTAGAATATTTTTTTACGCATGCGGCTCACCTGATGGTAAGTGACTACCGCCGCCCATGGACAATCGCAACACCAGGAGTATCGCAGGTGCGCTGACGGCCTTTTAGAAAGGAGTAAGCTCTTTTCTTGAAGGTCCCTAAGTCGTATCGGTCCGGAAAAATCGCCGGTGGTAAACAATTCCACAAAGAAGTTGTACGAGGAAGAAAATCCTAAAAAAACGCACAATGGTCGATGGTCTAGCATCCAGATGGTGATGATGGTATCGTGAATTTTGACGCGATGTGCGTTCGTGAAATTCGGTGGTTTTTTTATAACAATAAAGTCTTCCAATTATAGAGAGACTGGCAGCTGGTATTGATCCGAACAATTCCTCAGAGCACGTTCCGTGGTAGATATGATAGAAAACGCAAAGGGATGCAGCATCCCTACGCAGCGCCAGAGAATCGAGCCGATCAGAAAGAACTCTGTCGCCGACGATTCGAACCGCTATGCGCAGGATGCGGTCAAGTGGAAGGAGCTGACACTGGGGTGTCCCGGCCCAGAGATGAGAACAGTATTCTATGTGAGGCCGAACTTGCGCTTTGTAAAGTTTTATTTTATTTGATATGTACTTTCCTCTTATAAGATTTTTTTAGTTGACAATTTGTAGTTTAGACTACTAGAAACCTTATTTACAAAGTAAAAACTAAAAATGTTAAAAGGCTGATATTAGGGGCAGGACACCCACCCCACACAGCCATCCATGTAAAAGTAAAGTTACAGCCTATATAAGTTCTACAGTTGGGATAGAATTTTTCAAAATTTTCAGAGATATAGAACGCATCCATCACATTGCCCTAATGTGTGTTGGTAATCTTCAAAAAAGTATTTATCTTATATGCTATATATATATATATAAAAAAATATGTATATATTATTTTCTCGACCGTTTTGCGTTATGCGCTGCGTTGTATTTAAACAAATGTTACTTCAAAACTCAACCACCATCACAAATTCAAATACAACCAGTACATGAATTACTCAAAAACAAAATTGTTTTTCTTCAACAGCCCGTTGTCTTAGCAGGTGGATTAAAAATTAGTTTAAGACGTTTCGTACTTTTCCATCGCCAGTATGGGTAAAATACCCATAAAAATACCACAATTTTTCATGCTGGTTATTTACGGAACAGAGGTTTTTCCCGAACCAGTGAAAAAAGTACAAAATATGACTCAACAAGAATTACTTGTATAAAAATAATATATTTGAAAAAATCTATTCCATTCATAAGCAGGACGAAAACGAAATTTTTATACGGCCAATAGCCATAAGATCGATGAATCTTACGCCACCACCACATCGTACAATAAGTCTTAATTTGAAAAAGAATTTTAAAATACTCTTGTTTAAGCTTTAATCGCTCTACAAGAGCTTTTGCAACGACACAATAGAAGTATGTCAGTTTGCAAGCTTTTATTAATCTGCTCTTTATAAACTTTTTCTGAATAGCAACGCGGCCTTGTAGACAATCTTACCTGCCATTATTTGAAGGATTAATAATTGTTAGAATTCAAAAATATATAATTGTAGTATAGATATCTTACTACTAAAACGCTGCACACTTAACCATGCTGTATGTTTCTAAAGATTTAAGTTAGTCATGACGAACTCTCAAAGACTAGTCTGCTGATCTATAATCCGAAACTGACTTAAAACAGTCGCGTGATGTGAGAGAATATGAATTTTAGTAGGTCAATACAAAATGGCAAATTATACATAGGTACTTATGACTTATCATCATAATCTTCACCATTACATTCTGTCATATATCCACTGCAAAGAACTTGTCTCATCAAGTTAGTTGCACTGCGCATATCACCCCTATTAGAGAAATTCCGAGCCCATACAAACAACAGTAGTAGTAATCAATATCTATTTAGTATTCCTTAAGGGATAAGGCAGACAATAATTAATTTCTAGTTATTTTTTGTAAGTGAAAAAGCCGGATTTGGAATTTGTAAAACATGTCCTCAAAAAGGTAAGTTTATATTACAAAATAGTTATAATAGTTAAAACACAGAATGTATGAATAAAAATAGGCACCATTATAATTACCTTTTTGCAAACAAAATAATAAAATTAGAGTTTTTTGTAACTTATATTTGGCTGCCAATTCTATGAACTCATACACGGATCTGTTGGCACAATCACAAGTAATCATTAATCACATTGACAGTTTTAAGTAAATTAGTTTGTTTTTGTTATTTCAGATCAAAACCTTTATCGTTGCACGAAATTTTGAACAAGTTAGAGAAAGGTGATGATCCGGTCTCAGAAGGCATAAGGCAAGGCATAACATTTGAGGTACCAGATAATGCAAATGCTGCTGTTACTGACGCAGATGAAGGATTCAGAAGAAAATAATATTGCCATACACAACTTACCTTTATCTATCTTGCGTGCACCTGCAGAAGCTTATTATGGCTATCTGACCAGTTCTGAATCGGAAAGTGAAGATGATACTCCTTTGGCTAGTTTACAAAAGATATCTCGCATTAAACAGCCAACTCAACAGTCACAGTCATCTAAATCTACCATTACTGGATGATACTCTAATTCGCCCTACATCTGTGCAAAATAAAACGCACCAATGGAGGAATCGACATAGATCAAACGAGTTTCCTAGTTTCCAACCTCTGGAGGGTCCCAAAAACGATTTACGTTCTCCACTAAACTATTTGAGCAATTATTCAATGACGCCGTTACTAACTTGCTTGTGGCATATACGAATCTGTACGCTTCTCAAAAAAATAAACCAGACAATGTAACTCGAATGAAATAAAATGCTTTATTACTACTTTATAGTGGATACGTATCCGTGCCAAGATGTATGTATTGGGAAAACTCGTCTGATTGTGAATTTTCTCTGAGAATCGATCACTATCTTGTGATAGATTTACATACATCATGAACAATTTACACTATTTTTGGGTTTACAAGCGAGCACACAGTCTACCTGATGGTAAGTAAATGATGTGGCTCATAGACATCCACATTTATCTTCAACTAAAGATAAAATTACAAACGCGTTGTCACCCCTGTCGACTAAGATGGAATTTCTGGATTCCAGTAAAAAGGGTCACCGGTTTTCTTCACTTACCATACGAAACACAGCAGCATTACGCCGCTATTTTCCCGGTCGGGCCGACCCATTCGTGCTACAATTATAATATAGCTGTGGCGTGGCTCTACCATGTGAAAACTTTTGTGACAACTCATTGAAATGAGGTCGTTCTTTATTTTTCTGAACTCTGTTTTTCAAGAAAATGCACTTGTTGAAGAGATGCACAGAATCGACGAAGCTATAATTCCTTACTACGGCGGTCACAGTTGTAAGCAGTTCATCAAGGGTAAGCCAATTATATGAGTTACAAATATTGGGTTGGGGCTACATTAGTAGAATATTTAATTTGGTTTGATCCTTATCGAGTCCAGTCCGCACAAATAGCAACTACAAACAAGCAACTTGAACTAGGCGTTAGTATAATATTACAGTACGCAAATATTTTTCAAAGAATAAACCACAAAAACGTTTTTCATCTTTTCTTTGATAATTATTTCACATCTATTCCTCTTTTACAAGAACTGAAAAACAAAAACTGTCAACCCGCTAGCCAAGCGTAGTAACTATGAACACAATAGTAACAACCAAAAAAATGAAATAGGATGTGTTGTGGTTTTTCCCCTAATGCACCTCTATGTTACTGTGACAGCCTAGTAAAGTCCACTGCTGAACATAGGCCTCCCCCATAGATTGCCTCATAGTGGGGATACTTGACACAGTTGCCACGCTTGGCAAGTGGGTTGGCAATCGCAGTTTTTTTTTTTATTTTAGTCATTATTAGGAAGCAATAAAGTAAATGGCAGGCAGGCAGCAGGAAATAAAGTAAATGGGGCTCTACACTCTATTGTGAAAAGTCAGAATGTGTCAAAAAAGGCACGTATGGCGATTCACAGTGCTGTATTAGTCCCTACTTTAACGTATGTTAGTGAAAGTTGGGTGTGGCAGAAGAAGCACGAGAGTAGAATAAATGCAGTAGAAATGCGGTCGCTAAGGAGTATGTTAGGGCTGAATCTGAGTGACAGGGTGAGAAACTGTGTGATAAAAGAAGAGTGTGGTTTGCAAGATGATGCGGTGACCAGGATTAAGAAAGGAATGCTTCGGTGGTTTGGTCGTGTAGAAAGAATGAATGCGGAAAGACTGACAAAGCAAATATATGTTGCAGAAGTGAATGGAAGAGTCGGAAAGGGACGTCCTAGGCGGAAGTTTGTCGACCAAATTGGCGATATACT